AATGAATGTGGTAAAACAGATGTAATATAAAATTTGGCATTTTAACCATTTTTAAGCGTACAATTCAGTGGCATTAATTCACAATATTGGGCAACATTCACAATATTCTAAGATGTTGATACTTACATCACCCGAACAGAGATCCTGTTCTCATCAAGCAGTTCCTCCTCATTCCCTGCCCCTGGCCCCTGTAGCACCTCTAGTCCACCGTCTCTTTGGATTTGCCTCTTCTGGACGTTTCGTACAGATGGATCATACGGCACGTGGCCTTCTGTGACTGGCTTCTTTCACTCAGCATGTTTCCAGGGCTCATCCATCCTGTTGCAGGTGTTAATACTTCATTCCCACTTTCATGGCTGGATAATATTCCACCGCGTGGAGAGGTCATATTTCGTTTCCATATTTCATTCGGAGCTTCTGGACCTTCGGGCTGTTTCCAGCTTTGGCTGTCTTGACTAGTGCTGCTCGAACAGTCACACACTTTCCCTCTGCTCACCTGCCTGACTCCCTCTTGCACGCACACTCCCAGGTTATAACCACACACGGCCTGGATGCTTCTTCCCTTGCTCATTTCCACCTGGGATTAATTTCAGGACTGGAACCTCAGTTGCGGGAGCCGGGTCCAGAGAGGAGAAAGTGATTTGCCCAAGGTCACCCCCAAAGTCACACTATCCAGTTACTCTTTCTTTTTTCCTTCCATCTACCCACTCGCCCAGGCCGCCAGCTCACCCCTCCCCCGCCCCATTCTTAAAATGTTTCTGCATGCCTGTGCTGTGCTAGGCTCCGTGCTAGACACTAGGCCATGGCCAAGCCTACAGTGGGGTTGTCTCACCTCCGCAGGCCTCGTCCCCTCCCCTGCCCCAGGGAGGAGCCACGGGGCCTTGGCCAGGAACACCCCAGGGCCCAGGTGCGGCCCCTGCTACCCTAGGTGGAGGCATCCTAGAGTCCTGTTGATGGGTCCTACAGGGGAGTGATCTCACATCTTTCAAGGAGCAAGGGAAGTCCCCAGGCTGGACACTCCTCCCCAGGGCCTCGATTTCCTCATCCGGAAACATCCATCATCGGGGTGCTAGTTGTAAGCTCAGAAGCAGACTGTAGGAGTATCCCAGGGCTGCTCTAACAAAGTACCACAAGCCAGGGGCTGAAAACAACAGAAACGTACTCTTGAGGCTCTGGAGGCCAGAAGTCTGAAATCAAGGTGTTGGCAGGGTTGGTTTCTTCTGGAAGCTCCGTGGGAGCTGCTGGCTTCTGGTGGCTCCTGGTGACCTGACATCCCTTGGCCTAGGGACACACCCCTCCGATCTCTGCCCCTGACTTCACCTGGCCTTCCCCCTGTGTGTCTGCTTCTGTGTCTCTTCTCCTCTCTTCTCACCAGCCACACTGGATTAAGGGAGGGCCCCCCTTACTCCCATACATCCTCATCCTTTACAACAACACTGTTTCCAAATAAGGTCACGTTTACAGGTACCAGGGGTTAGGACTTGAACATGTCACTTTTGAGGGACACAGACCCAGCACACAGAGCTGAGACTAGGACTCTAGTGCAGGGCATGCCCTTGGGAGGGGTCCCAGGAAGCTCCAGCAGGCGGGAAAGTAAGGCAGGGAAGGGGCAGGGCCCACCCAGGGAGGGTTAGTACACAGGAGACTGGAGGGGGCGCCTGGAGCTCAGACCCAAGGGAAAACTCTGAGAAACTGGACAGACCGCTCCTCAGAGGTGTCCCACCCAAGGATAAGGCGCTAGGGTCTGTCCTTCAGTTCCATTTGCTCCCATGGTGTAAACCCCCCCCCCCCAGCGTCTTGGCCTGTCCTGGGTGCAAGCTGGGCGAGCCCCCCCCCCAACGGAGAGATATGGTCTTCCGACGACTCTTGCTAACTGAACAAAAAATAAGAGACGCGATAGAAGGTTCTGGAGCTCCCAGAAGTAACAAGGGGAAGGAGAACCAGCTTGGGGAGACTGAGGAAGCCGGGTTGCAGGGCAGGGGTTGGTGGCCAGCTCCTACAGGGCCCAGAGCTGCCCGCGCGCGCGAAGGGGTCCTGGTGGGGCAGCACGCCTCACAAAGCATCCTACTGCTGCAGCCCCTCAAGGCCCCCTCTGCTGGGCAGGCCCTCTGGGGCAGGGTGCAAACTGCCCAGCCGTTTCTAGCTGAGGGGATAAAGCAGACTCAGCCACAGTGACACGCTGCTGTGTCTCGAAGTCCTTGGGCAGTCAGACGGACGCAGGGTTCAGGAAGAGCCCAGGGCTCTTCCAGGGACCAGCCTCGCTGTCCCCCTGTGATGAGAGCACCCCCCGTGAGTGCAGGTGGGGGGCCAGGAGCAGGGCAGGGCCGTGCAGCAGCCCCTCCGTGCACGGGGCTTCAGCACACAGCCAGACACCTGCCCCACAGCCCTCCAGGGGCCATGGCCAAGGCTGCAGACCTGCCTCAGTCTGGGGTGGGGGCGGTGGGTGCTGCATGCGAAAGTCATGCTTCTGAGTGTGGGGGAGCTGTTTCCTATATTCCTAATTTCCCTGTTGGACATTTGCAAGGGCCCTGGAGGTCATCTGGTCCTCTGCCTTCATTTCACAGGTAATGACCAGAGAGGGGCAGTGAGCGGCCCAAGGCTGCACAGCTCATTAGAGATGTCACGGAGATGAATCCCTGGGCCTGGTGCCCACAAGTCAACAGCCCATAACCCTCCCCAGATGCTTTTTCTGAGGCCGGTTTTTGGCACAAACCTCTCCTGCGTCCAAGCACTGGGGAGGGGCGCTGGTATCTGCTGATAACCGGGGAGAGCTCCAATCCAGGGAAGGGCAAACATGAAGCACTTGTGTTCTGGCAAATGGTGGCGAGAAGCAGTGTGGTTTCTGAAGCCCACCTCCCCGGCCCCCATGCACATTGTCCCCAACCGCCCCACCTCCCCGTTCCTCCTAGACAGATGCCACAACATCTGCTTCTATGACATGCTGGGACAAAGCAGGGATCAGACCAGATGATGTATTGAAAATCCCTTTGTGGTCCTAGAACCAAAGTGCTAACTACCCTGGAGGACTAAATAGTCCTGTCAGGCCAGCAAAGAGCATGGGGGTGTCAAACCCGAGAAGGGTCTCTCTCCCTCCTTGCACAAACAAACCCTCTCCTGTAGTAAGGACTGCCCTCTCAGGGGCTCCCAGATGCACTGTTTTTGCCTCAGTACCTCTGCCCACATTGAATCTTCTTCCAGGAATGTCCTTCCTCCCAATTCTTAAAAGTTCTTCAACATCTGGCCAGGGTCTCACCTCCTCCAGGAAGCCTTCTGTGATTACACTGCCCCATACAAGCTCTCCCTTCTCCAAACAACTACCATCATTTCACTTGCTACCACTCCCAGTGGCTGCCTGCCTGATCTGCAGAATGTGAGCCTAGGGGGCTAAGATTAGTCTCAATACAGTTTCATGCATCTCACCACAGCAGCAATCATTAAACATTCCCCTTTCCCACTTATCTGGCAAACTCCTATTCATCCTGCAAAGCCCAATGTTGAATGCCCCCCAACCCTGGAAAACCCTCCCTGACTCTTGCATAAATGCCTGGAGTTCACTTGCCGGCTCCAAAATCCTGAAAGCCCAAGGGGAAAAAGGCCAATGGGGCCGTTGGTATTTTTGAGGGGTTTTTGGTCTCCTGACACTTGCAATGCTTCAGAGGCAAGCAGAGTAATCCCCGAATGCAGCTCAAAGTTGGCTCAGGTCAGTCCCCATTCCCAGGCACCAAATTCTGGTCCGGGAATCTATTGCCGTTAAACAAACCGTCCCAAGCTGAACCCACTCTTCTGTGCTTCCAATGCATTTGCCCATACTTTACTCACACGAATGTACTGAGCACCAAGCTAATGGCAGGCACCTGGCATGGCACCAGGAACCCTGCACTGAATGAGACAAAATCAGGCCTCACCCTGAGGAGCCTACATTCCACCTGCGGAGGCAAGCACTAGCCAATCTCAGGATGATTTAATGAAGTCACCAAGATGCTCTGAGCACTTGCTAGGTGTTAAGTGCTTCATGCATTGTGAGTCATTTCACCCTAAGAGCACCAGAGTCCATTCCTTGAACCCTCCATGCCTCTGTGCTCCCTGTGCGGGAGGCAGAGGACGCTAAAATCACGCCCTCCCTCCCCCACTCTCTCTCCTAGTCCCCTCCCTGCTTTAGTCCTCTCCTTGGCACTTGTCACCAAACATACTATGTTTTCCTTATTCCTTACTCACTCTCTGCCTCTCTCACTAAATCACGAATTCCCCACAGCAGGAGAGATCTGTGCTCCGTGTGCCCACAGCCTAGGATGGTGCCTGGTCAACAGCGGTGATCAAACGCATTTGTCAAAGGGAATGCATTGCTCTTTCTTTTTCAGATGAGATCACTGGTGCTCAGAGATGTCAAGCACCTCACCCAAAGTCACACAGCTGGTGAGCAGCAGAGGCTGGGTGCAAACCCAGACACCTGCCTCCAAGGTGCATGCTTCTTGCCACTCGCTACACTGCGCTGTCCCTTCATACCACCACCACATGTCATCCAACTGCCTTCTCCACTTGACTATGTCACCCCCGAGGGTGGGAGCTGGTATCTCCATCTCGTCCCCACAGGACCGCACACAGTGCCTGGCCTGGAGCAGTTTCCACTGTTTACTGAATGAGTAAATAACCTCATAAATGTCTAATTATATTTCATAAACATTTGGTTATTGATTGAATCAACACTCAGTTTCAAGTCCCTGGAGTCTTAAATCGGGGGCTGTCAGGAGAAAGTCTATTTGGTAGGCGAAAGCATGTCCCAATCCCCCTGCACATTTCTGGTGCACCCTTTGCTTGTCTACTTACAGACAAGGAGCCTTCTGAGGGCGGTGAGTTCATCTGCCAACCCCCCCCCCCCCGCCCCCGGCACAGTCCCATAAAGACGCTGCCCTGCCTGAGTTTGGGGGGAGCACCTGCAGAACATACAGCATCTGGGGGTCGCCTAGCCAGCCCCTCCCCGCCTCTCCCTCCCGGGCACTTACGCGGGACTTCTCGGCCAGCCTAGTGTACAATGCCCGTTTCCAGAGATTCTTGGCAGAGCCGGCTTCGAGGAGAAGCAGTAGGAAGCACAGAGCCCAGATGACCTTCCTTCTGCCGCTGCCCATCCTGCGGCTGGAAAAAGGCATTTCCTCCCACATGTTCAGGGAAGAGGGCCCTCTGGCCGGCTGGGTCCTGTAAGTGGGGAGCCAAAGTGTGCACGGTCCGCCGGACTCTCAGCTCCACTCAGCCGGGTCGCTGGGATCATGTGTCAGCGCCCAGCACGTGCCCCCACCCCTACCCCACCCCCGATGGTGGCCGGCCCGCCCGGTTATTTTTAGCTGGCCCCTATAACATCTGGCCCCAGAGGCTCCACCATAGACGTCTGCAGCCCAGGCAGTTCAGATGGTGGAGGCAAAAGGAGGGGGCACCGGGCTGGCTTGGAGACGTGGCCGGGAGTGGCCCTGTCCCACTGGGATAATGAGCACTTCCTGGCAGGCTGGGGCGGTCTCTCCTCCCAGAGGAGGTGTGCTGGCTGCGGGGCTTGGCGGGGGCCGGGTGGGGGCGGGCACGCAGGGGAACCAGCCCAGCAGGGTGGGTGGGGGTTCGCGGCTTCTACCTCGTCCAAGTTTTGAGCTGAGCTGACAAACTGTCTGCCCGTAGAAGCTTCTTCGGGAGACCGGTGCTGGATGGGGACTGGCTAAGCACGTGGCCGTGGGAAGAAGACTCACCCCCTTGAACCCTGCTGTCCTCCTCCCTCGTGTGTGCGTGCCCAGTTATGTCATGTGTTCCTAGGGAGAGTTCAGTGACGTTTTGACTGTGACCCGGGTCACGCCTCGTGAGTGTGTGTGTCGGCCTGTGTATGTTCTGTACACATACATAAAGTGCTATGCTCAGTATCTAATATTCTGCCGCCTGCTCGAAGCAACCCCCATTTCACAGATGGGGAAACAGAGGTACGAATCTACAAATACGTGCCTGAGGTCAGGCAGCAGGTAGCCGAGTTGGCTCGGCCCCAGGCCCGTCTGACCACTGTGACCTACCGTCAGGAAAGCAAAAGGGACCCGGGCCCCAGACTTAGCCACGCCCGGGCGGCATCCCAGCTCAGCCGTGTCTGCGTGGTGCTGGGAAAGCCTCCCCTAGTTCTTTCAACCATGACACTAGGTTTGTGGTCTTAGCTACGGTGGCAGGAGGAGCGCCGACACCCCCAAGGGGGATGTGAGCTCTGCAAGGTCAGGCATCTCTTACTGTCTGCACAGGGCCTGGCCTGCATCAGCCCTCAGCAAGTCCTGGCTCGGGGCACGGAGTAAGTTTAGCCATCAGGACGACCCTGCAAGGAAGTATGCCTCATCTACAGATGAGAGATGGAGGGCAAAAGTCAGTCCCAGTACAAGATACAGGCCTGGCACACAGTAGGTGCTCAATACATGTTCTTCAGCTGAGAAATCAGCTCCACAGCAGTATTCGGATCCCAGGGACCCAGGCGCCGAGCTGGGACCCGTCCGTTCATTTCTTGCAGCGATTAACTCATAAAAATGACCTTTCAAAGCCTTCAGGACAGGAGGGGTGACACCCGGTGACACATGTGCTCCAGGTTTGATATGGAAGGAGACAGGCTCTGAGGAGAGAAGTAAACATTGAACAAACCTGCCCAGGAGACCAGCCGCTTTCCTTTGATCAGATACGAGGCGGGATCCTGGCCTGACAGCCAGGCTGGATGGCCCTGCGGGCGCCCACGAAACCAGCCAGGGTCTGCGGCCTGCAGGGACTGCGGGGCCGTCAGCTCCACCCGGGTTTCGGCCAGGCCTCAGAACTTTATGTTCCAGCCGGCGGAGGTCTTTCTAGTTTATCTGAGCTCTGGAGACCTGGATTTGATCCCGAGCTTCGTGGGCTGTCGTCCCAGGACTCACCGACCCATGAGTGTGACTTCCTGCAGATCGGGGGTGGGGAGGTTTCCTCTGGGAAAGCCTTGGAGCGGGGGAGGCATTTATCAAGTCTGCTCTGAGTGAGGGGCCCACTGGGGTCTGATCACGGCTGCCTGCCAAGGGCTTCTCTCCCTCTGGAAAAAGAGGAAACAGTATCCTTTAGAAATATAAAGGGCTCAAGTGTGTAGGGGCCTCCCTCTCCAGAGCAGAGGACAGGAATCACAGTTGCAGGGTCTAGGAAGAAATCCTGCCCCACCACCCCTGATAAAACCCCCCACCCGATCACTGAGGCTTTCCATGGAAGGCAGAATATGTTTTCCATGGTAATCAGATCAAGAAAGTAAGTGCTCTAGGAAAGGGGTCAGAGTGGCATTCATCCATAAATCATACTAAAGTGTGAATGACTTGCAGCAGAAATATAGAGGCACAAGAAAGAGGACCAGGATACATTCATTCATCCATGCAAACATTTGAGCCCCTACCATGTGCCTGGCCTGGGAAACCGGGGACAGTAAAACCAGGCCCAACCTCTGCCCTTCTGGGGCTTCCTGCCCACTGGAGAAGTCAAGTATTAATCAAACCGTGATTTCCATCAACAGTTAGAGGACACTTTTCAGTGCCAGGCATGGCTTTGAGGACTTTAAAAATATTTACTCATTTAAACTACCTGAACTCCGTGAGTTGGGTACGCTTACTATCCCCATGTTACAGACAGGCAAACTGAGGGTCAGAGGCATGAACAGCTTGCCTGAATATACAGCACAGACAATTGGCAGAGTTGGGAGTCACTCCCAGACGTTTGCTCTCATAGCCTGTGCTCAATATGCTCACAGGGGAGCCAAGCTGCAGGTGAGGGGGTGGGGGGGGTGTTAGACAGAGGAGTCCTCGTGGGGCTCCCTGTGGAAGTGGTCACACACCTGAGCGCTGGAGGATGAGGCTGGACAGATGGACTCTGTTAGAGCATGCTGCTGTGGGGCCTGCCCTCTATGTGAAATAAATAAGTATCAAGGATCTATTACAACTGCATCAGTGAAAAGACAAATAGAACCCAAGCTGGAATATATTCTGTTTGTTTGTTCTGATTTTAAGAGAAATTAAGACACTTTCCTGAGCCCCTAAAAGTCTCCTGGGCCCTAGGCAGCGTGCCTGAGAATAGCCCTGGGGCCAAACAGCGCTGTGTGACGTGGGGCAAGCCTCTCCACTCTCTGAGCCAGGGAGCTGGGTGGTGTGGATGAGCCCACCGGGCGCCTGGGAGGTGCCCGGTCTGTGCTGGCCCCTCCTGACCATGTCCTCTGAAAGCCAGGGCGCCCCGAGCGGAAGAGAGCCTCAAGCGGGCAGTCCCCAGCTGTGCTGCCAGCTCTGAATGAAAACAGATGTCCCCTGAGCTGCTTGTTCTTGGATAGCTAGACTCGGGCCTCCGTTCACCGCCCCCCCCCCCCCCCCGCCCCGTTACTGACCTCCACTCACTGTCTGTCTCCCCCTCCACTCACTGCTGACGCCCTCCCTGTTAGGGAACTCCCAGCTTCTGTCCCTGCTCCAGCAAGCCTGCTCGCCTTGTCCCCCTGCCCCTGCCCCAGAGTGACCGGTGGTCCCAGGGCCAGACCTCCCAGGAGCTGACCCCTTGGCTCTGGCCGATGGGAACTCCTCCGCTTCCTCCCCATTCAGCGTGGCTGCAGGAGAAAGTGTCCCCTTTCAGGCAGTAGGAAGACCTGAAGCCAATGTACGAGGGTCAAAAGGTCAGGTTTAAAGGCCCGCCTGGCTCTCTGCACCCTGGACCCCCGGCCGACGCTCTGGTCCTCGCAGCGCCTCTCTAGCTGCTGGGCCAGGTGGTCACACCTGTGTGACTCGGCCACGTGTTTTTGTTTCTCCCTCCAAAGCAAATCTGATTGTGAAACCCCTCCACGGCCCACCTCCTAGGCCCCAAACCATGGCCTGGCCCTGTGAGGTCAAGGACAAACAGGTGCAACCCCACAGGCCTTGCAGGTCCAACCTGGACTCGCTCAACCTGGCCGCACGTTAGCATCTCCTGCAGGAGGGGGGTTGAACCAGCCCCACACCCGGGTCAAGCCCAGACCAAAGAAGTCAGAGCCCAGGTCAGTGAGATCAGAACAAGTCGTTTCCAAAGGTCCCTGGCTGATTTCAGTGAGCAGCCGGGGCCAGGAGCCCTGATGCATCTGGCGTCTCCCGGATGGGCCCCCAGCCCCACCTCCAGGCTCCCTCCGGCCTCCCTGCCGCAGCAGCCTGGCCTCCGTCACAGGCTGCTCGCCTGCCCCTTTGCATGCGCTGGTCCCTCTCCCTGAGACCCTTCCCTGTTGTCTTTGCTGAGGAAACTGGTTCAGGCTTCCGCACATCTCCACTCTCATCAAAACACTGGGTTGCTTCCTCCCAGGAATGTTCCCGGAGCTCCAAGTCAGCTTGGTTCCCCGAGAACAGGCTTTCATGGACCACGTGCCTCTGCTGGACAGGACCCATGGGACAGGACAGAAGTGACGTTTCTTGTGACCATGCCTGACTCTCCCAATAGGTAGTGAGTACCCCGAGGGCAGGGATCGTCTCTTCATTGTTTGGGTCTTTTTCTTTCTCACCTCCCAGGCCCACAGCACATAGTAGGAGCTCAGCGAACACTCACTGTGTGGCTAAAGGGATGCTCCCACGACCCACCCAGGGCTCCTGCCCAGGTGACTTTGCTGGGACTTCCTAATGGCAGTCAGTGTCCCTAGAGCCACCCACCACCCCCCACCTCCTGGCACCGAAGTCCCCTGAGCTGAATGGACGGATGTGAACCCCTGCAGCCACACCTGCTGCCAAAGTGTCATCCTGCCCCAGCCACTACCTGTGCTAGACGGCGTCCTAGGAGCTGGGGACACATCTGTCCCTTTCTGCCAGCCGGGCTGGAAGGCTGCTCGGCATCCTTGACGTTCGGGGCTGGCTCATCCTGTCATGGAGACCGCCCCGTGCACTGACGGACACTTAGCCTCGCCCCACGAGATGCCAGTGGTAGTCTCCCTCCCACCAGACATTACCAAATGCCCCCTAGTCTGGGAGCCAAATCGCTCCCAGGTTGAATGCCTGCATCACTGGAGCTGAGCGCAGAACAGAGTGGAGTCGGGACGTTGCCTTACAGAGATTGCCGAACCGTGCACGTCTGTCTGTCTGTCTGTATAAATCACACACACACACACACACTCCCAATTAAAAGAAAAAAACAAAAAGCAGCACCCAGTAATAAATTCGGCAGCAAACATGAGCCGAGGTTAGGGGTCTGCCTGAGCTTCTGCTCCTGCTGTGGCCGGTGACCGCAGCGAGACCCTGTCCTCCCCAGGTCTCGGCTCCTTGTCCACAGTGGAGACCACAGCCGCCCCTCGGCCCTGGGTTACTGAGCTCACAGTGGGGTGCAAGTGCCACTTAGCACCCCTGCCACCAGCAGTTATAGAGTTACACAGATGTGACATCCAAGCAGAGCAGATGACGAGGACACAAATGAGACAGGATGTGAGCTATTGGCAGATTCGGGTGAAGGGTGTGTCGATATTTCCTGTAGTATTC